GCCCGCGCCGCCGCTCGCCGCCCGGGCCCGCGCCCGCGCCGCTGGCCAGGTCCAGCGTGCCCGACGCCTCCGCCGCTACCGCCTCCGCCGCGGCCGCCGCGGCCGCCGCGTCGCGCCGCTCGGCGTCTCTCTCCAATTCTGTGAGCGCGGCGCTCGCGCGGCTCACGGTGATGGCAATCTCGGCCAGCGACGCGACGCCCTCCCCGCCGCCCTCGGCCGCCGGCGTCCAATTGAACTTCCGCACGTACCAGTTTCGGTAAGGATCCAGGCAGCCGCCGAGCTTCTTGATGGCCCACACGTTCCTGCCGGCACTGCCCAGCAGCCGCTCCCCCATGTCCCGTTCCTCCTTCCTGATAGAGGCCTGGCTGCGGGCGGGCAGGGCGCCGCGCGCGCCGCGGGTTCGATTCCGGGCGCGGATGAGGGCGGGGCGCGCGGGCGGCGCGCGAGGCGGGGGCCGCCGTTGCCGAGGCGGCGGAGTTCATCAGGCGAGGCGCGGCGGGCCGAGGGTGGCGCGGCCCATAGCGGCTGCCGACCGCCTCCACGGGTTTCACGTTTAGGGCTTAGGGCTTAGGGCTTACTGGTCTGGCGCTATCGCGCATCCGTCCCTGCGCGGCCCCGCCCTACCTTGCAAGCCCGCCAGGCGCGCCGGCCCCTGCGCTGCCCTCGGTTTGGCCGGCCGCGGCGGCCGCCGCGTGGCCATGCTGCGCGTCATCCTCTGAATGCAGAGCGACGACCCTCAGGTGGATGTATTGTGACGTGTCAACGCCGCACAGCTTGATGAAACTCTGGGGAACAGAGTGGGCGGCCACGCACGCGCGCGTGCAGGTGTTGAGCTGTGTTTACCGTGTGTGCGTGTTCGTGTATGGGTTCGTGTGTGCGCATGTTGATATGTGATTGCGGGATTGAGTGATTGAATGAGCAGGTGTGCATGCGTGCGTGAGGATGTAAGCAGGCGGGAGTGTGTGTGGGCGTAAGTGAGCAAGCATGTGTGCGTGAGCGTGCATGCATGCATCAGCACGCCCACCCATGCGTGTGCGTGCGCACGCTTGCGTATGTACGTGCGAGCATACCTGCTCGCGTGCAAGCGTTCCGACTTTGCGCATTCCGGAGTGCATACACGCCACCCTTGCCCTCCCCTTCCTCCCACGCCGCGCCCCAGCCCCCACCTGCGGCAGCCTAAGCGACCGCACCGTCGGCCCCTGGGGGCACACCACATCTTTCACGATCGCGTTGGCCGTCACCTCGTACTTCCCCGTCACCTCGACCTGCATGCGGCTCCTGACCGGCGGGCCGGCCGCCTCTGCGAGCGCCGCCGCGTTGGCCGCAGGATCCTGGCCGTACTTTGCGCGGTACTCGGCCGTGGGCGAGCGAACGTCGAAACGCAGCAGGCCGGCGCGGATCTGCGCGCCGAGGGGGGGACAGGGAGGGGCGTGGCCCTAGGACACCGCGCGCGGTGCGTCGCTTCACGGCCACGCTCGCCGCGAACCCCGGCGGCGGCGCGCCGGGGCGGCCCCTCCGCGCGGCGCTGCCGCTCCCGCCGCCGCGGCGGACGCCGCACCTTCACGAAGCGCAGGGCCTGGCCACCGCCGGCGATCTTCAAGAAGGGCTCCTTCTCGAACAGGAGTTGCGGGACCGTCCTCGTCAGCGAGCCGTCCGCGCGCCGTTTGCTGCCCCATTCGATCTTGAAGGGCAGCGCCTCGAGCTGCCGCTTGCCGTCGACCTGAATAGGTGCAAGGGGGGCCGGCCGCAAAGGGCTCAAACCAGCGCAGGCACGCCACCGGCCGACGATGGAGCACGGGTCCGCCGCCGCCGCGACAGCTCATCGCCACCAAGACAGCCCCGCGTCGCAGCGGGCATGTCACCGCGCCCCAAGTTGCCGACATGGGGGCCGCGCGTGGCCGACTGCCCTCGACCTTTTTCTGCCCTTTGCGCCGTATCCGGCCGCGGCCGGCCCTTATGAAAAGCAACTGGTGCGGTGCGCACCCACGTCCCCCTCACCACGATGTCTGCGGCCCACTCCTCCGCCTGTTCAATCCAGTGGCGCCCGTCTGCGGCAGCAGGGCGCGCGGCGCAACGAGGCGGCCGCGCTCAGGCACAGCGGCCCTGCCACAGGGGCCGCTTAACGCAGCGACGGCGCCGCGCGCGCGGGCCTGGGCGCAGCAGGATCGCGGCCCCGTTCTGCGAGCTGGGCACGCCGCACGCTTGGGTGGGTTCGGCGCGGGCGACATCGCCGTTGGACGCACCTGCTGGCAGCCGGACCTTTCGTTTGCTGATCTGAAAATTGCAGGTGACGCACTCGTACAAAGGCTCCGCGCCCGCGCCGCCGCCGCCGCCGGCGCCGCTGCCGCCGCCGTTCGTACCGCCCCCAGCCCCTTCTCTACCGCCGTTGCCATCCGCCGCTGCAGCCCCCTCCTCGTCCTCGTCCTCCTCGTCCTCCCCCGCATCCTGCATGTCCTCGTCCTCCTCCTGCTCCTCCATGCGCTCGCCGTCCGAGCCTTTGTCATCCACCCGTTGCCGCTTTAGGTCGCGCCGCTCATCGCCCGGGCGCCCCGGCTGCGCTTCGTCCCTGTTGGAGCGCTGCGCAACCGGCGCAGGTGCAGGGCGCGCCGCTGCTGCGTCCCTTATGCCGTTGCTGGTCCGCTTGTCCAGGGACGTGCTGTCCCCGTGATTGTGGGCCTCGTACGTGCAAGAAGGCGGCTCCTCCTTGACACGCGGCAGCGTCTCGGCGAGTGCCGCTGCGCTGCTGCTTGAGACTTTGCGGCCGTTCGCGCCGCCACTGCCCGGTGTCGGCAAGTGAGTGTCTGCGTCTTCTAAGCTGCTCATTCGCTCGAACCTGAACCCAGGCGGCAGGTCGAGCGGGGGCTGCGAGCCCGCGAAGGGGCTTGTCCCCGGCGACATGCGCAGACAACCGGTTAGCAGATATCAGACGAACCCATAGAAAATGTGACGCGTCCGAAGACAGTACCGAGGCCCTAGAAAAGACGCGATCTTGCTGTCGGGATGCAATTTGTCATCGATGACATGCCTGCCAGGTATCATATGCTGTGAAGCATGAGGACTCAATAGGAACTTACTGCTCTCAGACTCATAAAATAAAAGTATACCTCACTACCTTGGAGTCGTAGTCGGCCGTCACCGTCTCACCGGGGATCAAAGGAGCAAGTGTGCGGCAAGCAGCGGAGTGCACAAAGCGAGTGGGGTATCCCTGCCCGTACCCGTTCCACCGGGTAGACTCATGCTTGATTCGTATGTTGTCATGCGCATGTCAGTTGCTGATGAGTTGCCCGGCCCCCTCCCATTATTGAGACCTCTCAATAAATACATTGCGAACGCAAAGCCCCGCAAAGCTTTTGGGTACTCAAACCGCGTCGTTGAGCTGTTTCAGTGCTGCTTCGCTTGAGCACGAGATCTCACAACTTCAGCGCGGGCCAATTCGAATTCTTGCGCCGGCCCACGTGATGGTTCAGCACACGTACAGACCGAGGATGTCCATTGTGAGTACCTGGCTTGTAAAAGGCTCAAACACGTCGTATGCGCACCGGCATTGTTGCCACACCCAGCATGTCCTGGTCGCACTCCGCCCGCTGCCATGCAAGCTTTGGATTCGTCCCTTGTGACGGACATGTATCGCCCAATCAATGTGCACTACTCCATCAGCAGGCAGGCATGATGGCGGATGCACCCCAAGCGGCCCTGGCACAGGCCGGCCCAGCGACGAACACCGCCAAGCGGCAGCGCAAGGGCAGCGACGCTGACGAGGACTGGGTGCCCTCTGGCGACCAGGCGCGCGGCGGCCGCCGCGGGGGCGCGTTGCCTGCTGCCGGTGGCGCTACCGCCGTGGGCCCCAGCTGCCAGCCGCGGTCTCGGCCGCGCCCGCTGCACTCGGTGGCCGGCAGCAGCTGCAGCAGCAGCAGCAGGAGCGCGCCCCCAAGCGGAAGAAGGCGGTCGACCCGATGAGCACCACGCGCACCGTGCACGTGCGGGGCGGCCAGGGCACGAGATGCAGAGTCTCAGGGGATGCCACGGTGAGGGCCCGCCGGCTGCGGTGGGGTGCAAGGGTGGGCGTGCGCCCGAATGGCCGCCTTTTCAAACCCGGAAGGCCTAGTCAATGTCAACCCCACCCTAGGCGGCTCAGAACAGCATAGCGTGCCCTTCGTCGCCGGCCCGCCACTCTCCCTGAAGCTGCGTGTTTTTTGGGGCACCCGGGACTCCAACATCGCCGCGGCGATTGGCCGTGTGCTGCCGCCCGCGTGCGACGCAGGTGGTTCTCCGCCCAGGGCAGGGCCTGCGAGAGCTGAAGGCTGAGCTGCGCCGGCGTTTCGGCAAGGCGAGCTGCCAGCGCCTCGGCAGCCTGCTGCTGGTCGACCCACAGGTGCGCTTGGGATGATCATGCACGCAACTTTGGCCACGGCTGCGCGTAGGTCGAGGAGGGGGGTGCTTGTGCATTATACAATGGTTGCTGCAGGCACGGGGTGCCGCGGCGGGGTGCCGGCCCACCTGTTCATGCTTGTGGCTCTCTGCTGTCCCTGTGCTTTCCCTGCCGCCCCTGCTGCCTTGCCTGGCATGGCTTGCCCGCCCCGAGCCAAGGCGACCGCGCCACCAGACTGAAGCCCGCCCCTGAACCCCGCGCGTGCGTGCCGCCGCCGCCGCCCCGGCTGCGCCTCCGCAGGGCCATGCAGGCGAGGCCGCCAAGTCGCAGGACATCACGGACGGCTGCACCCTGCAGTGCAGGTACATTGAGGCTGAGGGCAACATGGGGAACCTCGTGATGGGCGGCTGCTTCGGCGGCCGCCGCTTTGGGGGCGGCCGGCGGTACGGCGGCTGCGCGTACAAGCATCCGGCGTTTGATAGAGATTTTGATCTGTTCTTTGGCATTTAGAGTGCTCTTGGGGCGGGAGAGCTGCGTGCGGGGCGTTGGGCGCGACGCAGCTAATCCTGAGCCTGTGGGGACCTGCATGACCCCCTGGCGAGAGGCGGAAGGAAGCTTGACTTGTACCCTTTTGCAAAGTTGCGCTGCTGTTAGGCAATCGCATGTTTTTCAACGCTTTGGTATGGGTGCTATCATGGGGCTGTACATGCGTACTGCATTGTGTTTCAATCTGTAATCCAAGGTTTTGGGCGGTTTCAGGTGGAGCACAAGCAATTGTCTGTCCAGCGTCGTGGGATACCACACTGCAACTTAACATCATTGAGGGACAAGTTGCACTGGTTACTCAACCTCATGTTGAGTCAGCGCGATGTCTAGGACGTTGGCCGGCCCTCGCAAACGCCGTGCCACCTGCGGCCGCGGCCACTGAGGCCGTCAGCGGATGTAGCGGCCGCGGCGGTCGCCGCTCAGCGCTGCCCGGTCGGCCGCCCTGCGCTGCCTCTCGGCCACGGCCCTGGCCTCCTCCTGCCGCTGCCTCCGCCTCTCGGACTCGTCGGTGCCGGCGGCGTGCGCCGCAGCGGGAAGCGCTGCCCAGGTGATGGCAGCGATGACACAACAGCAGGTGGCGCGGCGGTTGACAACGGCTGGCGCAGGCCTCGCGTCAGACCTGGTGACCGTCTTTTGAGCGAACTCGAGGTTCAGTTTGGAGACATGCATGGTGGCGAGCTCGGGCGAGTGGCTGTCGAGGCTGCGCGTGGACCGTTGCTCGGCGATGTGTGTAATACTGTAATTGAGCAAATGCTTTGAAATCCCACACAAATAAGTTTGATCAATCAGGTGTGAGATGCACCGTTGCTGTGGATGCGTTGTGGCAGCGCGAGGGGCCGAGGGCGGTGTGTTGACTGGGACATGTGGTTTGAATGAGAACACGTCGCACAGCCCTGGGCCTCACCTCGATCATGGCGGTTGACGCCTTTATTGCTGCAACGATTTCCGTTACAATTGGTACGTGGCTTGGATCGCGCATCATAAAATTGCAGTCGGTGCCACGTGGCGGAACCGCAGGTGGCGAGGCCAGGCCAAGTAAGGGTGGCGAGGCGGGGCCAAAGTTTGACAGAGAGTACAAGACGTGGTGTGTGTCGCCTTGGCGCCCTGGGCCATTTTGCGGCTGCTCCTGCAGGCCCCCGATTCTTGTTCTGGAGCCGGCGCTGTGCCACACGCAGCTGGCAATTCGCGACGCTGACCTGCTGGGTGAGGCTGGCAGATGCCATCCCTGCCTGCAGCTCTGGTAACGCAGCGATTCATGGGGGCACACCGCAACGCACGAGACATGGATGCCGTTTCTCTGCCTCGCCATACCGCCCAAAGCTGCTGCAATGGAGGCAGGCGGGCCACAAGCAGCCATTTGGCTGCTGTCCTGGCTTTGTCCAGCACCCCGCTCATGTTCCTCACTCCTAGCTCAAGGCTCTTGTGGGGTTTTGCAGGCTGTGGTGACACGCTGAGCAAATTGGCGCCACCGCGCAGTGGGCGATGACGGTTCGGCCGGCCAAACTCTGTGACAGTTTGCTCTGGTCGGCCAGGGCAGGCGGCAGGGGTGGCGGGGCGCTGCGTTGACGGCCCTCACCCCTGCAGTGCTGCAGGCACCACAACTTGCTGCCGTGTCTTGAGCTGCTTGCACTGCACGGCGTGAGACTAGGGTTGATGCAGCGGGCCTGTGGGCTGCGTACGGCGCTGGCTCACACGCGCAGCGACAAGCCACCCAAACCAACTTGCGCGTTACAAGGATTCAGCACCTGATAGGGCTTCCGCCTTGTGGATGGAGAGCCCTGCGTGGTTGTCGGTTGAGCAGTACTGTACGTTGTCACCTTGGGTGGCACCGCCCCCGCATTGACCGCATGCAGCACACTTGTCGAAAGTACCGAGAACAAGCGTGAACGCTGCCAGTGGATATTATAGAGTGTATCATTGAGCCATTTTATAGTCGCAGCACTGCAGCACCGACGTGTGCCCAAGCGCGATGAGGCCTAGTGCAAGCGCATGCCATCAGCGGGCCACAAAAACGTACGAATGGCGAAACTACACGCGAATTCGGGCGAGCAACCGTCTCCTGGCTCGCGCCTCGCCACGCGTGTCGGTGGAGACCTCGCCAGCACCGCCAGCGATGGATGTGGCGACGTCGCCGGCAGTGGCATCACCGCCTGCGCCGCCGAGCCGCCAGGGGCGCAACATCGTCACCAGTTGAGCTCTGTTTTTGGACGATGTCCTGCGTCACTCAGGGCTGGCGGGACTTGGAAAACAGCAGCTGAGGGCCCAGGGCCCTCAGCAAGCCCAGCACACCGCCAGCCCGCTGTTTTGTACCAGCGATCGCTGCTTTGGCCACCTCCCTCGCAATACGCCCCCCCCCCCCCC